ATCGATTCATCGCCGCATTAGTTCAGTTAGGGGTGAACGCTAAAGTATGTCACTGATCAAATCGATAGACCATCGCTTGGGTCCTCTTTACAACATTATTTTGTGTTAAATTAAAAAAATAATAACCGTTAAACCAGTATGACAAAAAACCGGTAAATCACTAAAAGTAAAATTAAAAAAAAATCCATTAACATATTTGTATCATTCAAAAATATACGCACAAATATTAAAAATGTGTGAATTTCAAAAACACACGGATGACTGCTAGTATTATGAATGAGAGTTGACAGATTGGCGACCGCCTTAGCCGCCATTTTGATTTTGAAACAATCCAATGATATCACTCTCCACACGGAACATGTCCGGCGCTAATGCGTTTTATTAAATTACTCTACATTAACATTGTGACCATGACAGTATACAGCTGTTGGTAGGCATATCTATACCTACCAACAGGCACCTAATGGCACATAAAATATAAAAATAATATTGCATGAGATCGGACACAACAATCATTACTTACTAAATATTTTTTTCAGTATATTCAACTAATTTTCAAGAAACAATGTTATTCTGTCACTTTGGTCTACCATATGTAACAGTTCCAGCATGCTGAGCATTCGCTTATAAATCGGTATTTAGAAAAAGTACAAGTGTTTTAATCTAATTTTAATATTATTACAACTCAACGCCTCGTAAGAATATCAGGAATGTATAATTTCATTAACAACATCAGCTCACTATACGTCCCCACCGAGGGGCTCGGAGCCTACCCTAAGTTAAGGGTGATTAGGACTTAGACACAGAAAAGAACGTCGGATAAATGTGCATATGTAAATCGGAAATCGAAAAAACACATTTCTACATGGCGGGATTCGAACCCAGGACCAGCAGATTCCAAGTCAACTGCTTGACCCCTGAGCCACCGACGCTATAATTTCATTATACTATAATGAATTACTTCTCCATCAATGGATATTGATTCTACGACTATAAATTTATTTTACAGATCCCGTTACAAGTGAAATATTTAGCTCATTTGTAAAAATTCTCGTGTGTCAAAGTTAGTTACCATACACCTCAGAAACAGCTTGACAGATTTTTAAGAAATTTCATACGCATATTCAGTAAGCCTGAGAATCGCCTACTATCTATTTTTTAAACCTTCGCGGAGGGATTCGCAGGCGATAGCTAGGATATATCTATAAGTTTTGTTAATGTGTTTAGTCCGTTTGTCCCCAGTTGACCATAGACTAATCTACTGATTGGAGGTGGAGATTCGACGATCGATTTCCAATTATGTCATTGTTGACCCCCCACCCCTTTATTACACCCAACGCCTAGCCTCTGATACCTCGAGCTCCTAAGTGAAATTAACTGTAGTAACAAATTACGGTTTCTAAAGATGTAAAACAAACTCAATAATTGTAACAAAAACGTTTCTTTCCTTGAACAACTAACATTATATTATTTTATATTACTAATAAACACATGTGACATAAACTGCCTATTATTCAGTTTAGTTAACAAAAATAAATTTTGAAAGTAAAAAATAAAAGTTAATTTTAATAATTATTTTAAAAAACCGATAATGATTAATCGAATTCCATTTTTACAACATGTCCCCTCACTAGCAAAATATTTGATAAACTCTTGATCATAGTCAATAGCTTTTCTCGCCTTTTTGTAACGTTGGCGGCAAGCCAAGAAAAAAGTGTTAAATCACGTATAATAATTGTTACGTTGTTTTCTATCCAGTATAAAATTTGATAATAGCAAGAGGTGTCACTGGAGCGATAAAATTATCTCGACTCCAGATTTAAATTGAACGTAATAAATGGTTTCAGTTTCATTCTGTCAGTTAAAAAATATGAAATGAATATTAATTTTCTTTAATAAATATGGTAAATATTTCGTTTACTATTAATTAAAATTGACCTAACTGAATACTGATATTTTAATATTAGTAATTAATTAGTCATTTAATTACTTATTTTAAATTTATTACTTTCTTAATATTAATAAAGGTACACTTTTAATATTTTCTAGTTCATAAATATTATTTTGAGCGTGAACTGACTTTGACAGTTGTACCAAATAAATGTTGCCAGCATTTTAAATAAAATTTGTACTAAATTATTTTATTCTAAGTTTAATTTGATTAAACATTTTAATTAGACATTCTGACGAAAAGTTATACGAAGACTTGCAATATTTCGAACTTCAAACGCGACCTCGTCCGTTCGTGCGGAAACCGAACAAAACGCTTACTTATAGTCCGTGTTTACGACGCTTTCAATGAAATTAATTACTGTTTACATCAAGCTTTTACAGTTGTAATTTTGTCAACATTCTTTATGTTTGTAGTTTTGTTTAATCTTAATCATTGCAATACATCATTAAATTTAGTTTAAATTACTACATAATGTTTTAACCAATTTTGTGATTAAATTAATATTGTTACAAAACAGCAAACTAACCGCTGCAAACAGACATTGCTTACAAGTAAAGACGTGTCAGATGTATTGAGGCATACAATATTTCCTATATTTGCACATCCTATAAAGTTGTCAACTCATATATTATGTCCCTACCCAAATTAGGCGTGACCAGGCCGCAGTCAACCACATTGCATTACGATGTTTTTCTTCACCTTAAGAACGGCGGACAATTCGGCGGATCTGAAATTCGAAAATTGGAAAACACGATCGAAAGTGGATGGGTCCATTTCTGTCCGTTCCGGTCAAGCGCTTAATAACCACCAACGCTCCTTTCCTTTACTTAAGTCATTTTTTTATTATTTGTAAAAGAAACTGAATCAACCTGACTCTTAGTTATATGCAATTTTTACTAAACATGTGAATGAGGATTTACAAATTGATGCGGTAAAGTTTCCAAGTGTAAGAACCGCAGCATCCCCGGCCATCGTATTATGCCACTGGCCATACGCCAAGAATGCGGCTCTTATGAGATACACATCACAATTATTGGCCATAAATTTTTATAATTTCACGTTATCAAATTTGTTTTATTAAAAAAGTCTATGGTGTAAGCATTTACAATATACTATCTAAAAGATGAAACACAATTTGCTAGAAGAATCCTGAATTAAGGGGATGTATAGAAATAAAAATATCGTACTTTTAAATGAAAAGTGACGTGTGCCTCAATGATACTCGTATGTTTTCTGTCAAATATTATCTCAGATGAAATGCTATAGTTTTTAGCAATAGTCATCTTGTGAAAATATAAAATTTACTATTTCAAGTCTCACTACTTAAATAATAAATCAGCTAGCGTGCTATTGTATACTTTACAAAACAACCAAGTAAAAATAAATTGTTCACTCGAAATTGGAAATTACTGCCTGATGATTCGATTCAAGTTAACGATAAAACCTTTTAAAAATACAAAGAATTGAAGTCGAAAAGAATCAATCTCAGTTACCTTGTAACGTCGTAAAACTCGTGGGGCGGTTACCGTGCATCGAACATTTGGCGAATTTTATGCGCATCTTTTATTTTGGGCAACCGCTCCGACAGAATCGATTGCCCCCGACACGCCACAACGATAAATTACTTTTTCCGCTCACTCCATACAATTCACGAATGAAGTAGGCGGTGCATGGATCAGTCAGTCATTCGAGACCGCAGCCGCTCTGCGCCCGTGCCCGCCCAGAACCGCCCCGTGCCGCGCCACACGTCGCAAAGCTGGCTGACGCACCTGAGCGCAACCGACCGGACGCTCCCCTGAGGGCTAAAAGCGTCAATCTAGCTGAGAGACCTCGCTGCCAATATGTCCGATCAGTCCGAAGCGCTGACTCGAAGCGCTCGCGATTTCTCGACAAACAATTCTTTCCAAAACGCCGGCCCGCCCCCGATATCAAAAGTGTCACAAAACCTTGCGAAATAGCCGTCAAACAACAAAAAAGAAAAAAAATCGAGAAAATCCCATTAGCTCTTTCCGTTCAAAACATTACCATACCGATGCGTTACGACCCAAATCGTTCAACCTCCAAACGTCCAGATGCTCACGAACACAATGATACTAAAACGAAATCTTTTAATCCTAAACAGGTCGGCGAGAACAAGAGACTCTGTCACACAGTCGGCGGGAAAGAGACGGAGAACAAGCTTCTGGTGCAGATAAGTGAAGCCGAGCAAGTGACGGACTTTGAAAGGATTCTCAATAGAAATGCAGTGGTGTGGGAACGAGCGCGGGGCCATGTGTGGCGCGCTAGCGTAGCGCACGCCTCCGCCGCCTCCGTCACCTCCGCCTCGTTGTTGCCGCGCTCGTCATACTCGTTGCACGCGGTCAGTGAGGCCTACCACCGGCTGTTCCAACAACACGAGGAATCGGTGCGACCCCTCGTCGAGCGATACCGACAAGAAACCGTCGCTGAGCAGAAACGACGTCTCACGCCGAGCGTTTTGCAAAACGACTGGTATGATAATCTTCACGACTTGGCTGAATTTTATGAGGACGATCAGCTGTTGCATAGGGAAATCGAATCTATCACAGAAAACTTAATTGACGAAGAAGTAAAGGCGACGGAAGTCGGCCCTCGAAATAAAAACTTCAAGGTGAATTTGGCCGATCTAATCGGGTTGCACGTAAGCGGAGAGGGGGTCTCTCCGATCGGGCGCGAAGACCGTGGCCTCTCGCCTGAAGCAGAGTGCGGTGTCACCGACGAGAAGGAATGGCTCGCACCGAGCATGAGCTCGAATCTCGATAACCGGTCGACGAGCGAGCGCAGTGAAAACGTCGATAGTCTAGCCGACAACTTGGATTCGATCCAATTGGGTTACGATGCTAAAGTTCCCACGATAACCTTTAGCAATTGTTGCGAGGGACGCGTCAAGAGCGATTCGCGGGACAATACGGATGTCGTGATCCACCTCTCAGTACCATCTATTGAGAGCATCGACGAGGCCCGTCCGCCGATGTAAGTCATTGCCGTTGTAATAACTGATACTAAATCGTTTTATAAGCGACGATTTAAAAACTTTAAGATGATTGCTATAGAAACTGAGCAGGCTATGCCTAAGGAGGAGCGGATGCCGAAAATCGAAGCCACGACTTCGCAAAGAATATTGACCCGATCAAGCGCCGTCAGTCAGAAGTCGGTCGATATAGTGGTGCAGCCCGACAGCTCCAACAACCCGTTGCACAGGTCCAAACTGGCACCCACCCGCTCTGCGTCGGAGACGCAGTCCTCCAGTAAGAAAATTTTAAACTTACGAAAGACGAAAAACTCATCGATAGAATCAACGATGAGTTTACCGAATCAAAAATCGTTGGAGAAGAAACATGGCGGATTGAGGCACCAGAAGGCGATAGGTGCTCACTCCGATATCACATTAAGTACGCAGCCGTCCATATCGGACGACAGGAAGGCGCTGAGGGAGGCATTGTATCAGGGTATCTTTCATAGGCACAGGAGAACAATATTCGCCGTGGGTTCGTTCCTCAGAATGCTGAGAAGCAAAACGTCGAATTACGATTCGATACGATCGGACTCCGACGAGATATAGCGGCCGCGGGAGACGAGTGCTTGTGGACGTTAGAGGATGGCCGCGGACTGAGTGTGATTGTTTGTGCTTTTCTAACGTTATTGGAACAAAGTTACCGTATATAAGGGTAGTTAATAATTTGAGATAAGACTTGCATTGTATAATAATGTTCCTAAATAATTTGTTTTGACGTATTATCTTACTTTTCTATCACACCTTTTCGTGAATGGTTTAAAAGTAACGGCATTCTGTTGAAAGTCTATAATGTTGCCATATAATTGAAATATTACTATTTGGTATAATTTGACTGTAACACGAATAAAACAACGAAAACAATAATCGTTGAAACCTAAAGGTTGTGACCTTAGGAGTGGTCCTTTTTTATTATCAAAAAACATGGCAACAATAATAAGGTTAGTTTACAATGAGCATTAACATCGCGTGACATTGGATTGTGTCAAGGACATCAGCTGACACGCGCCAACACCAGCCTGTCCCTGATCTGATATTAATTATACTCATTGCAAGTGTTGATCAAGCACGTTTTAATTTATTTATTGTCAACGACATTTTAATTAATCAGACAGAAATAGGAAATCTGAATTTCACATTAAAATTTCTTATAAAATTGTTGAATTATAATATAAACCGGCCAATATGTTTCATTATTGTTGAAAAAACTGCAGATTGATAATTGTATTAATGTAATAAACGGATCATTGCGACTCAAAATGGTATAAGCAGACACGTGTAAATAACGAACATATTCTTTTTGTAGTTTATTTTGGTTGGATATATTATTCGGCTGTTATGTTTCCTTGCAACATTTCGATGTATAATAACACTTTAACAATTTAGAAAAAATAGAGCTTAAAAACTCAAATGGGTACGTATAATATGTAGATATGTATAAAACATAGTTAATAGTATTTTGTTTATTATATTAGTTGCAAGGCTTTTGGAACTTATACCGTTATGGGAATGACCAATTAATGTGTTGCTATACATATTTTAATTGATTTTATTCATTAATTTGCGACTTTATTTGAAAAAAATTTATACAAAAATATGTATATGTAGATATGAGCGAACGAAACAATGGATTGTGGACATTTTTGGAACAATTTATGCACTTTTTATATATTTGTATATCAAGAATTTTGTATAAAATGCTGTTGTGGAAGGTATTTTATTAAGAATGTTGATTGTATTTCCAATTATTACAACTAATATGCGATATACAGTTTCGTTCCTAAATATAGCTAATGCCAATAAAAAGGAGCTTAATAATATTAAAGTTGATTTTGGCTTATTTAATTTGAGTCGTACAAATTAAATTTATTGATTGCTTTTTAACTATAAATATACGAATCATTTTTTTGTAACGAAAAACGACATTGCTAAGAATTTTGATAAATAAACTGAGCTTTGTAATTTAATTAGAAACATTATGAATTCCAACTGTCGCTTGTGTTAACCTATTTTTTGTCAAAACGAACTGTTTTAGGGAACATATTATTTCAATTTATGCATATAAATACGTAATGTGTTTGTCTAATTGTAAACTTTATAATTTGTAATTAAATATTGTTAAATGTGTAAGAAAGCACACGAAATGTTATTAATAATATAAATGTTAATTTTTCTATAACACTGTAAAATGGTAGAAATTGGTAGTTATTGTCTGTTTTTTAAATGTGTCAACGGCAACATTCCTTGGTAAGGAGCGTATGTATATTACTCAGTATGGATGATGCTAAAAATTAAGACTGCGTTAATTAAAGGATGTAAGACAGAATGATGTCATTTTGGTTTTATATGTTAATATTAAGTTAATTCGTTATTAAAGTTGTTTTCACATTAACTTCTTTTATTTTAGTAAAAGCAAATATAATAACAAAACAGTAATAACACGGCCATTACTTATTTATTAAATAATATGATCGTAAAATACACATTTCAATAAAACTTTCTAAATTTTTCTTTGCTAAATTTAAAAAACTATCCTACATAATTGCTATTTTTATTTGTAAGTAAAATTGTATAGAAATATAAAACATAGTTTTACGAGCAATTTGTACTTTGTTGATATTGAAACATGGGCTTGTTTACATTAGCTAATTGGTTGAAGCAACTGGTGGGTTAGCTATTAAAGTAGTAACCTCACCACTTAAGGATATTAAACGGAATTTGCTGATGTCATTGTGTAGAATAACACGTGGTATTATTAAGCGTTAACCAAGAGATTTTGATAGTTCTTGAACCAAAACGATTTCTTCCTTTCCGTTGGCCACTTTTGAATTTTTAGTGCCGGGACTAATCTCTAACTCTTCCTCTTTTGACAAACAGGGCAATAACAAAACAAAGCTTTTCGAAAAGAAAGTTTTATTTATGGACTTTGTGAAATAATACAAAGTAATATTGAATAAGTGATTTTATTTTTATGTAACTTCGTTTTCTATTTCCAAGCATTATTGGCGTTAAAATAATAATATATTGAATAATTACACAACAAAATTATATTTATATATAGCTATTAACTATCAGCCGAAGATACAAAACTTTGGTTCCTAGCTCGTCGAAGTCACAAACCGATGTTACATTTCAAATACGTCGTATAATATAACGCGACTTAAGAAAATGGCGCACGAAATAAACTCGTCAAAAAATACATATTAAAATATCATATCATAAAGTAAACTGTGATAAGATTATGGTTAATATACAATTTTATTCCTATTTAAAGAATTATTTATATTTTATTAATATATAATAATGATGGACTGACACATTTTTTGTTATTCGCTAATTTGGAATCTTTTAGTAACGCCGCGCGCCATTTTACCTAATCGTTTGTTAATCAATATTCCGCCTTACATGGTTGATAATAAAGTCCATTTTATAACGATAAGGACTAGACCGTCACTTGCATGCATTTTCATTACAAAAAAAAAGAAAATATAAACAAAATTACAACACACAACAACTATCTCATATCACATAACCTCTTTTATCATCTATGATGAATATTTACAAAATCATATTTATATTAAGGCACATAATAAGCCGGCTTAGAGCCTAAAATAGGACACTTCTATTTACAATGTTGGCCCCGGAGAATGCTGTAGAGGTAACTAGGATCTCGCGTGGCGTATGAACTATAAAACTACAAGAAAACTACCAAGTAGTAACAATAACTAAACTCTAAAACTTCCCGCAGTCTTCCCGTAAACTATACCGACACATAACAAAACCGATTTATTATCGAAATACAATCCTCAATAATGTTTTCTTTCCTTTATTTCAAGAGTCATACAAAGAATGAATTTAATATAGAGAGAATCGAACGTTACAAGCTACTTTTTATTTAACAATTTTGACAAAACCACAGACACAAATTAGAACAGATTAAAAATAATATCTTATTTTGCGTTTGTAATCATGATAAGGAATTTTTATTGCATCTTAAATTTAAATGGGAATTCAAATTGTAGTTTAAATAAAACGGCGTCAATCAAGATATTCCGAAGTTGTATGACCAAGAAAAATAGACCTCAGCCTGTCATAGTTTAGTAAGACGGAGCCAAAACTCATAAAAACCTCAAGCTATAAGATTCCATCGAACCTCCTCAGGTTATATCTGTAAATGTTAGAACATGAGCGCAGAGATCATAGTTTACAAACATACAAACACTTTCATTCATATCACAATATTTATCTACAAGAAACATAAAAACTTAACATTTATGTACTATAAGAAATCTAATCATTTACATGTGTTAGCGACTTTCTGAACGAAAAAAGTGGTTATCGTGACAGTTATTTTGGCGCCAATTTTTATTGTCAAATATTTTGACAGATCAAATTATTAGTTTTAAAATTAATGTTCTTTATTGCTATTTTACATTTTTAATTAGTTGTAATAAATAAAAAAAAGTTTAATGAAAGTCGCTCACCTATTACACAACGCATACTCATTAAAACGTTAGAATAATAAAGGAGAAATTCAACCGAGTCTAATATCGAATATTTGCTTGTAATATATCGATATAATATTATCGATTTATCGATGGTATTTACAGATAACGTAAGCACCTATCTTATATCGAGTAAATTAGATTTTTTATGTGATTCGTTTTTGACTCAGAAGAAAGCCGCCATACTAAATATATTTTATATTATTTTTATACAAGTCTTAATAGAAACGCCAAGTTACAGCAACGAAACTTACATTAATCTATGTCTGCAATATACGAGATAAATCCTAAATATGTCATTTTTTATTAATCTTAAATAAACCAGCTATATAAAATCAACAATTTAATTGTTTATATTCATTCTGCAATCGAACAAAGCACATGTATTTATGTCGCTGAACTCCATATATGGATAGGCTATCAATGGTGATATTTTGTGCCAATTTGACTTGCGCCATTTTGCGGTTGGTAGCGTAGGTGAGGATTCAGATTAAATCAAGGTACAACAGTCAAAAACCTCAACAGTCGTGTTGAATTCGGAACGTAGCAAAATTTGTCATTTCCAAGCAATAACCTATCCATCCATAGAGACCAGTGACATATCAAAGATTTTTTTTCTCAAATCAAATACTGGGTACACTATGAGTTGGCACATCGGAAACAAGCACTTTATGTAAGACTGCCAACTTTATCTCTAAGTACACGATTTAGTTGGCACGTTGGGTACACGAGTACGCTTGCATCGGACGTGCCAACTTAAATGGCGCGAACAAATTCAGTTCGCACTCATCCAGTGTTGCCAACACAATGCATCATGTATGTTTGACAGCTGGTTTATAGTACAATGACGTGTGTAGTCACGCATGTCTCCTGTCAAATATGTCGTGGTAGTCGTTGAGGAGGATGTCGACGACGTTGTTCTGCTGAATGCAGTCTACAGCGATGTTGTGCGCCTGCGCGGCCGGCGCCCACAGCAGCGTGGGACCGAACACTATCGCCAAGTTAGCTGTGTGCATGCGGTTACGCTCGCTGTATTGTGTTACCCTGGACAAGGAAGTTACACGTTCAATTAATCAACTAATATTATAAATGCAAATGTTTGGATGGATGGATGTTTGTTAAAAGGTATCTCCATAACTGCATGGATTTCGATAAAATGACAATATAGAACATAGTCTGGAAGGAGACACAAAGTACTAATTAAGTTTTTTTTTAATTCTAAACCGATGGAGTCGCGGGCGATAGCAAGTTTTACAACAGTCATGGATAAGAAAACAAGTTGCTAAGTTTTGTTATGGTTCTAGACAATTTGAAATAAAAAAAGATAATTAGAGAATTTATTCTATTTTATATACTAAATGGAAAGTAAAATATGCACAAAATATTATTCTTAGATATTGAACACGTTTGAAAGACTCACTTGAGTAGGTGTTCCAGCAGGAACTTGAGCGTGTCCCGGTTGCACTCGGGGAGGCAGTTTACAATTTCGCGGAACTCCTTAATCCGCGCTTCACGAGGCTTGATCGCTGCAAACACAAACAAATATAATTATTATTTACAAACATAAAAAGAGAAGACAATGAGTCTTTGTATCATTGATTCGTGAATAGAAACGGTTACACTCAATTGATGATAGTAGAATATCGATTAATGAATCGATTCAAAGATATCATAGCAACGTAACAACTTTGTGCCTTGTCCGCTGCAATACCACGACCACACAGAAGACACACCTGAAGTGCGAACCAATTCCATGGACAGTCTGTTGTGCCGGAGGCCTAATTTTAATCTTTCCCCTTCCACCCTTTTCTAATAAGGAAATTGTACGATAAGGAAGTGCATTGTCAGAGGAGATTACGCATAAGAAGTAACTCTTTCTGTACGTCCTCTCCTTAGATAAAAGGTAGGTAATTGTAATTAAGAAAGTCTATAGACAGTGGTCGCTTCGCTTTTTTCTCGACTTTAAATGGCCGCTTGTTCATTTGTCATCTAAGAATATGAAAAAGCGAATTGAAAGTTACTCACAGCATGCAGCGAGAACTCTATCAAACATGGTGCAAGGTATGAGCGGTTCCTTCAGCTCACGGAAGAACAGTTTGAGAGCGCCAGTCAGCACGTGGATATCTGTATTGTTACTGATCACGGACTGATTCTTCTGATCGATCTGCACATACACAAAGAATATTTTATAAAAAGAAAATCGTATGACAAAACAAAATCAACTTAACGAGTATCAGGGGCTCAATGGTTAGGTACTTGGAACTGCATGTACTAGGTTCAAGTTCCGCCGTATCAATGTGTTTTTCGATTAACATATGTACATTTATCCGACGTTTTTACGATGAAGGAAAACATCGTGATGCAACCTGCACATATCAGCGAATTTAAAGATATGTGTGAAGTCAATCCGCATTGTATCACGGTGGTTGGCAATGACTTAGATACGCCTAACTTGGGGTAGGCTCCGAGCCCCTCAATGGGGAACTATAGTGAGCTGATGATGATAAATATCTTAGTGCGCAACGCATACCTTTCTAAAAGGGTCTAAACCCCTATATAGGAGGCTTAAGTTGGTAAGGTAAATGGTGCCTTCCTTCAAGTAGTATTACTCTTACCTCTAGCCGTATCTTCTGCACCTGGCTGAGGTTCCCGCTAGCCCGATAAAGGCCGTCTGTGGACATGTTTTCCTCGGTGCTCTCGATCTCCCGGACGCAAGCGCGCACGAACTCCGGCACACGAGGGCTGCTCTCCGAACACACCTCCTCCAGCTTCCGACCGAATACAGGCTCATCTGTGCACAAAGATATTACAAACTGACTATTTCCACTAGCCCGACTGAATTTGGATGTGAATTTCAACTAATTAAAAAAAATCTTGGTACGTTAATTAACAATGTTTATTTAATTTGAAATCATGAGTGTTTTAAAAAACCTTACATCTTACTTGTGTTTGTTGTTTGTTATATAAACATACTAGCTGTCGCACGCAACTCCGTCCGCGCGGAATTACATTAATCTAAATTAGTAGCCTTCCAAACTATGTTCTACATCTATGACAAATTTCATCTAGATCCAATCAGACGGCTGAATGCTAGAGAACGGTCTTGAAATACCTTGTAACCAACATCCATCCATCCATCCAAACATTCGCATTATTTATTACAGAGTTTAAGTAAAAATATACATTTTCCTTTCTCATTTATTTAATTCCTTGTAACACAATCTAACCTACGTACGACATGGATCAGATTATTGCCATTAATATCATTCTGTTTCCCACCTTCGGTAATTTATACGTCAAAATAGTTTTTTTTTAACAAAACGTTACTAGGAAACCGTAATCTACGACCGTGTATCTTAGATGTATGGATGTGAAAGAAATAAGATAAGACAAGTCTACGAAAATATCCATTTAAAAGTTCCTTACAGAAGTTCTTTTGTTTTTTTTTTTAATAATTTATTATTTACAAAAATGAACATAATTCCGTTTTTTTATTTCATTCTTTTCTATTATAAATTGTCCCCTTTAAATAGAATTTACTAGATTAGAAATTTTGCCTTCTGTTCAGAAATTCTGGATAACTTTCGTTACTTTTGAAGACATGTCTTATACATGTCGCACATTATTACTGTCTCTATATTTTCTCAAAGAGAAAGAGGGATGGTTATATTGTACAGACGACACCCATTGTTAGAGAGACCACTTGAAGATGAAAAATTAAAAAATTAAAACTTATATTTGCAGCATCAGTCTGGAATATAGGAAGATAGCAATATATCTAGCTATTTTTAAAAATCTCGCGTAAAATAGAATGTTTTAAAAAATATATTTACAAATTTTAAATTATTCTACCACCGCTAAGAACTATAGGGAAACGGGTAAAAATAAAACAAGCCATAATATTATTGCATAAATTCATTTTAGTATATTAAAATAACTCAAGCACCTGTCAAAATAAAACGAATATAAAATCTCAAAACTCGCCAATAAAAATGACTAAATATTTATTTTGAAAAAAAAAAACAAAAAAAATCTTTCCACAATTATAGCAAAATATTTTTTAATAAATGTATTTTATTAAACTTACCGTTTTTATTACAAAATAAATTTTGAACTAAATATTTACACAGAATATTTAGTTTTATATTGAAGTTTCTTTTAATAATCACCCTGTAAATCTATACATTATTAACCATCACCAAATTAAATTATATCTCCCAAACAAATTCAAATCAAGCAAACCATCACCCAGAAGCATAAAAAAGCAAAAATCTAAAAAAACAGCTATTAACTACAATTAACCGTTACCACAAGCGTTATAACTATAAAATAACGGTACCTGTTTATAACGCTGCTATATCACTACTGGTCTTATAATTAAGTGCGGGCCGTTCCGTGTAAGCTTTACACAATTTATATACAATTCGAACCTTTATATATCCCTTTCTTGACCAGATCTTCCATCGTCGGCCGCTTCGGGAAGAATTTTCTCAGTACTTTTGTCACTTGAGATTTCTGTGTCGAAACCTCAGTGGAATCACTGAGATCCTCGTTGCTACTCCCACCGGCTGAAAGAGTCAAGGAAATACTAAAGAATGTTAGGACAACTAGCAAAAGAAAACAGAAAAGTTAGACAAGGCTGAAGAAAGAGAAAAAAAGGTACATCCCAACAACCACAAGTTTAATACGGAAAATAAACCTATTATCTACCTATAGTTTGAAAATATAGTTATAAACATTACGTTTAAAAACGTTTAACATAAACTTAAATAAACTATTCAAGTGTTTAAAAAACAGTTATAACGAAAACGGTGTTAAAAACATATAAAACGTTACACATTAACTAAATACGTCTTAACACGAATATAAACAGACCAGACTGGAACAGATTATTAAACTATTTACCTTTTATATCGATGAATTCTTCCTATAATCACTATAACCAATGGATTTTTTAAATCAACGATTTAATAATCATCGATTAATTTTGAAAAAACGTTTTTCGCGATATTAGTTTCACCGTTAATAAAATAACCGTTAAAAATAATTAGTAATTGTAGATACTACATGAGTGACATCACTAGAATTGTATTCAATCAGTGGACCGAATTTTGATTGTTGAAAAATGTAATCAATAAGTTTTGAGGTGTTTTGTGTGTAAATGAAAAATATAAAATCGTGTTATATAGATACAAATATATAAATATAATAAAGGTAAATAAATTTATACATATTTTAAAATGAATAGATCCATGTGACCTACTAATGTACTGAACGATGTCTAATTTATAGGTTAACAAAACAAAATGCTTTAAATTTGGTCAAATGTGTAGATAACTAAAGATTACGTTTATCTATAACAAAGATATAAAATGATTATTGTTTCATCATAACTTTTTGTAACACAATTTGATCTAATTGAATTTATTTACGTAATTATAAAACTAATAAATATAAGAACATTTCCCTCGTTTCATTAACTCCAATAACGGTAGCAGGAGTAGTTGTGTTATTTTTATTTTTAATACATAATTCATACCACAAATATTAAAGATAATGCTAAAAAGCAGTTTTACTTACTAGCTATAACCCGCTACAAAGTCCGCGCGAAATAAAAAAAAAAACTTCATTAGTAGCCTATGTTCTTCCAGACTATGTTCAACATCTATGCCAAATCGCGAGATCTATGCAGTCGTTCTGGAGATACCTTCTAACAGACATCCATCCATCCATCCATCTAAACATTCGCATTTATAATATTAGTAAGGTAATTAAATCAAAACAGCCATTCACTTCTTAAAACTAATGATTCATTTGTTTCATAAACAAAGTTTTATAATTACTCATAGTGACGTCAATAAACAGTAATTTAGAAGTACTTATTTAAAATCCTAATAAAATTAAACATCATCATCATCTTCATCAGCTCACTATACGTCCCCACCGAGGGGCTCGGAGCCTACCCTATGTTAAGGGTGATTAGGCCATAGTCAATCACGCTGGCCAAGTGCGGGTTGACTGCACACATGTCTTTGAATTTCTTCTCAGATATGTGCAGGTTGCATCACGATGTTTTCCTTCACCGTAAGAACGTCGGATAAATGTACATATGTAAATCGGAAACTAAACATATAAATATCAAATTAAAACAGATTATTTCAAAGGAAAATTTAAGATTTTTTAACAAACACAAGTAAAAAAAAACACTCGGCCATCTGATTTTTCTGTTTGTGTTAATGTTGCCATGATAAATAAAGTTATAAAATGCTATTTCATAACAATAGAGACTAATCGTTACGTTAAATCGTTATTGATAAGCTGTTTTTATACGTGTTAAATAATTTTACACGTCAATATAAAATAAAATATAAAAATATACGTTTTACTGAGCTGCTGAAATGTTGCGATCCAAAAAACTGCTTTATTTTCGAATGATGTTTTTCCGTAGGACTCTTTTTCGGTTTATCCATAACTGGTTCCGACTTAAAATGCCAGAATTCGGATGCAACATGCACTAATTCGTGATCCATTTTAAAGAAACATCACATTATATTAACAAAAAACCGGTAAAAAAATTATCGATTCACACCGGCACATCACTATCACACGTGCGTCTCTAACGGATTGTTTATTAGTACTGGGATATAATCTAAGATAGGAGGATTGCGTTATCTAGATAAAGACCCTTAATATCGCGTGGTAATGACCAAAACGCAATAGTATTGTGTTTTGTAATAATCAATCGAAGCAAAAATAATGAACGATTCATTCAGTTTACAAAATACAAATTAAAAGTAACATGAAACATAATAAACCAACTTATTTAGTCCGGTACGAGACTATCTTTACGGTTGTTCTGTCAGAAAACATGTCAAAGTATTTATATTTTTTGACATTAAGCTTAGTTTGACCTATGATCATAAAGATAGTTTGTAATTATCTATTTGTATTATCTATATTTTGATTTTAGCAGTATTCTAGATTTAAGGTATAAGTTATTCGTGAAGTAACGTGAGATTAGATGAGAAAAATATGCATTCAAAGTTTTGCGCAATTTGTTGTTATGTTCTCATTTATAATTTCAAAATAACTCCATATCTCGATAGCTTAAATAGAACGAATTGAGCAATAAAGATGTTGCAATATATAGAGACAAGTTATATCCCACCACTTTTGCCGCACTAAATTAAAAAAAAAACTTCTGGCGATATCTTCTAACAAACATTTTTTTATCTAAACTTACGCATTTATAATATTACTAAGATTGTCATAAATAATTATACCGTTAAATTAAAAAAATAATAACCATCTTACACGATCGCTTTATCCGGAAACCATTAACGCAACAACTCATAATCATTTAAGGCACATCACTATTTTCAAATGTCAAACCGTTGTCAAATTTAAAAAACAAAAAAAAATCACTAAATCAAATTAAAATGTAGTTAATAATTGAATAATAATGCAATAATAGTAATAAATTAAACATTATAATATGAATTAAACTTGTAAAATACGTATATCAGCCGAGGCAATGGCAAGTGACTGAATAAGGAAAATCGAACGTCATTAAATGTGTCAAATCATTCAAATTCCAGGAAAACACGTCATTAGCATAATACGAAATAAATTCATGCTAATTTTTTTCGATTTTTTTTTTAATTTAAGGCAAAAAGACACGAATCTAAATACAAATTGAAAGCCCTAAATGCATGATCTTTTTTTTATAATAAAACTTATGTTAAAATTATGTAAAAAAATGTATAAATTAATAATGAGTAATAATTAATTAGATAATTTATAGTATTATAGTTTTTATAGATATCAAAATATATTTGTATATCTTGTCTTTGAAAAAAATACCGTAATAAGAAATGTGTTGGAAATGAAACGTTTGTGTTAACTCTAAAAAGGTTAAACCATAGATTGTAAAGTACGTCAATAAATCATCAATGAAATTAATTATTTTATTATATATTAAGATGATAATTTTACCTAACATATTAAATATCTTTAGAATATGGCGTAGAGTTTATAACTGTATCTACAGGTCCAGATTTAAACTCTGAAATGTCCTTTTAAGACGTTCTAATACTAAAAGAAGACATCTGCAAAGAAGTTCAAAATGGAGGGACGTGTTTGTAGACTGTCATTAAACAATTGCGACCAAAGTTTTCAAAGTACCAGGGTACCAGCAGCGACGATGGGGTAGGGCGAGGATATGGAGGAGATTCTCGAGCGTATGCTCCAGAATCGGAAACAAAGGGGTGCTCTTGGTGACCTTTAAAATAAAAAGGGGCGCCGCAAAAATGTCGCCCGGGCGCCGGAACAACCCTATAGGGTACTATAACATAAGAGACCCACCTTTCTTGTGTCGTGCATGTCTTGCGACGGGCGGCGTGCGGCCCAGGCTCTCCAGGTCCGTGTTGCTGCTCTGGTACTGCGGAGGATACTCCTCCAAGGTCGGAGGTCCCTAGTGGATGAAAAAGTTAAGTTGTAATTTTTTATTATAAAATATCTATTTCTTTTCACATGATCTGTAACATCTAAGAAGAAATTGATTAAAACCTGATTTTTAATTTTTTTTTCTCCCTTGTCAGTAGAATTTCGCAAGCTAACAATTGGCTACCGGTTCTTGATCTCGCTAAAGTAAAGAAGTGGGAAGGGAGTGGGATTTAACCTATTCCTATGCGTTCCTCCGTCAAATCATCATCAAGGGAAGAGCCCTTTCCTATTCTTTCCTTTACTACGATGATCCAATTACTGTTAATAGGCATCGACTTGGCACGTCGTCTATAAGAGTACTAGTGTATCCGACGTGCGACAACTGAAGCGGGAGGTACTCACCAGTTTGTATATAATATTCTGTATAAGCATGAGCAGCTGCTTGGCTTTGTCGTCGCTCTCGTCCTGCAGCAGGTATGTATCGTAGCCCACTGTCAGGGTGAATGACCTCGTGTATCTGTCAACATAAACGTACAGTGACATCTAGTGATAAACAAAATTTTTCAAGATATGGCGCAAAATAGATGAAATTATAGATTTTATTCGCAACTTAAACGCACCGCTTGACGTTGACAAAAACCGCTTCCAATCGGTCCAAGTCATGACTATATTGAAATGTTAGCAAGAATTAACAAAAATCGTAGAATAAAATGTACAACGCCATCTAGTGAACAAACTTAATTTTACGGGATAAAGTTACTTCGTAACACATGATATGTTCGCTTTGCTGAAAACTAAAAGAATTTTTTAAAAATTTGTCAGCAAGGCCTTTGTTCCGGAAAATCTCCAGAACGGCTGGACTAATTTTGACGAGACTTTGATTGTAGGTGATGCAGGAGCATATCATATGATTATAAGATTTTGAACTGAATTAGTAGTTACCTTCTTGTATGGGCTTGTATACAAGGCAGCACATGCGCGTTACGCAGCGGCAGGATGAGCTCAGCACGAGGTGCAGTCGGGCTGGGCGGTGTGCCCGGCTTGCGGATCTTCTAAACACACAGAGAGGAAAACAATCTTTTTTTATTTCAAAATTAAAAGGAACAAACTGACAAATAGTAATTGAGTTACTATGTGAATCTGTAGAAATATGTATCTTAATATTTTTAAGTAGTTTATATATCCATTTTATATTTTTTTCGATCCTGTAGGGGTGGGCAATGGGGGTAGCTGCCTCCCTTCTCCGACGCCCATGTTTGCTTGTAACCTTTTAATAAACTTTTATTAACTTACGGTGGCATTATACGTTCTCTGATCCTTGTAGAAGTAGAGTGCGGTGTGTGTTAACACCATGTAGCATTCGCTCCAGTTCTTCTTGCTCTTCTTGCCACTCTCTGAATACTTGGTGCGTTTGATCAGTCGCTCGTCGACCACCGAGCTGGCTGACTGCACCGGCTCCGGCGCACGCTCGTATACCTAACGAACGAAATAATTTTATTAACACGTAAAGATAACTTTGTCAACTAGGAAAGAAATGCATAAATCTATTTTAGTAAAGAACATAAGCTTCTGTATTCAAATTTCTTTACTGAGTCATAAACAATAATAAAATATCAAGGTCAAGATTCGACCAATGAGCGCCCAGTATTTGTTTTTTTGCACTTTTGAAAAGCGGGAAAATCTATTTATGACAGCGCCATCTAGCGATAATGCTAACAACATGAACTTTGTTTAATATTAAAAAGAAATTGTCCACGCCATTGTATGAAATTTACTAATACTTTTTAATTTAAGACTTGGTCAGGGTTAAAAAAAACTTCGTTATAATATAGATAAATATGAAAGTAATTTCTGTGCATGAAATTGGTGTAACAAATGACACATTAGGTTTGAATCTTGTAGGTTATTTTTCTTTGCAAAGAATCACCTGGTACTAAGTTATTTGGTCGTATTTTTTTTAATGTAAAATATTAGCAGATTTTTTTCTAACTTTACTAATATTTCTTTTACTATTCCAACTAAGCTCTATGCTTGACTTAGGATATGGTTTACAACAGTAGTTGAATGGCCGGATTGGAACCCCCGACCTCGTGATGGGAAATCTGTACCCTTAACCATTAGGCTATTGACGCTTTTAATACATTTGCTTACCTCAGTAGGTGGCAGCACTCTGCGTGGCGCGGGTACTGGCGACCTCTTGTGTGCGACCATGGAGCGTGACTTCCTGCTGCGTGAGTAGGCTGGCTCCTTGTCACGCACCTCCACGTCAAGACTGTCTCCGGAGGAGGAGGCGGGCAGGTGGAGGTGACTCGGCCGGAGGTTCGGCACAATTAGGTTCTCTGTTGAACCACCTGGAATAGAAAGAAATACATTGCGCTATAGTGAAATAAACGACTAAGCATGACTGCTGCACTCAGTGCTTAATTGGTCACTAAGTGATCATTAAGGGCTACTTAATGTCTCTGCAAATGCGGCAGTAATATCTTATATACAAAACTCTCGTGTCATAATGTTAGTCATTATACACTTCAGCAACGGCTTGGCCGTTTTATTCAGTAGATCTGGGAGTCGGCTTCTATCTACTTTTCAATCCCGCGCGGACGGAGTCGCGTGCGAGAACTAGTAAAATGTTAAATTAGTAAGCTTGCATTTTTAAAGTTAAAACAGTGATTTTCAAACTTGAAAAGAAACGTGTTATCTATAGCTACCTAATTTCTTGTTGATCCTGACGAAGGGCGGGCTCTCCGCGCTCAGCTTGCTGTACCCAAGCGCACCTCGCTCTGACGCAGGGCTCCATTCCTTTGCTGACTCCTGGAACAAAATTAAACCATATATTAAACTAATAAACCATATTATGGGTTTCCACTGTCTGTATACTTGTAAATAAACATTTAATAATCATTATCTTTGAAAAACCAGAGATAATTTTTATTAAAAAAAACAAATATTTGTTTGTTTACATACGAAAATTAGTCACTTTAGCAAAAAATATTTCTCGTCATGCACGCAAGTTTGTGATATATCACACAAACATAACCTAACATAATGTTGACCTATCAATGAATTCCGGTGATACAGGCAGCATGGCACCGTAGGCGTGTTTATATGTCGTTATATAATCTATGCCATTTTATTATCTGTGCTGCAAAATCCGAAGTCCGTCGAACGGAATTCCGGACGTCAAAATCTAATCAGTTTTCAGCTATATTTATTCCAACGGAGATCTCGTTACGAAGTATTATTCAATAAATTGAATGATTGCTATATTTAACAATGACATCTGGCCGTAAACGAGACGTCAAATATTACCAACATTATAAACATTGCCGCGAATATTACAGTGCTGCCAATATGAATGCTGTTTTTTCCTCAATTCAAAAAGACTCACTCACACTCAGTATAGCTGTTTAGGTAACTGTAAATAAGGAAATTATCGTAGTTTATAAATGAAACGAAAACATACTTATAAAACTATGAAATCGTATATTTCATAGAATATTCTTTTAAAAAACATATTTTTAACAAACATACAAAACTCATTGAGTTGAGGCACACCCACATTCAAATCATATGATATTTATGAACGAAATATAGATAAAAACTAAAAGTACGGACGCACATCCGGACATATTATTTAATATGTTATACGTACGAAGGAATGAACGAATAGTACCAGCGTGGAACATTTCGCTTGGCACAAGATCGGCGAAAGTTCACAGCTGACGGCCAACCTCCATTAAATGGAGAGGCACCTTGAGAGAAAGAGAGAGAGAGAGAGATACAAAGTCATATTGAACTTTACAACTTTGTTAAACAAAATCTGCATTAAGAAAACATGTCAATAACTTTTCCAGTACATCGTAATTGGGTGGACGAAAGCTACTTTATAAAATAAGAAGTGCCGGATAGCTATAAAGTTTTCTCTCCGTTATTATTTAAGTATAACATTCGCAAAACTTCAGTTTGTTCCATAGTTCCATGTTACTGGCCATATTCTTACCATAAAATAGGCAAAAGACACACATATTTGTCATAACCTGTCATCGTATCGACTTTTATATCATAAATCAAGTCGATATTTATAAATAAAACATTTGATTATTTATAAATAATTAGGTATAAACACATTTTACATTTATCCGACGTTCTTACGGTGAAGGAAAACATCGTGATGCTGCACATATCTGAGAAGAAATTCAAAGATATGTGAAGTCAACCCGCACTTGGCCAGCGTGGTTGACTATGGCCTTATCACCCCTTACTTAGGGTAGGCTCCGAGCCCCTCGGTGGGGACATATAGAGAGCTAATGATGAGATGTAAACAACACCTTGCAGTTAAAGTGAATAGCTTATGAAATCTTGAGTTAAATTCCCAAAAACATATAGAATATGTTTGGTTTTCTTTAATACTACAACTTTTTGCATTTAATTATTATTAAAACTATTAAAGAAACCAGAAAATAGTATTATAACCTTAAAGTAATTACATTGTCAGTGGCTCAATACACTTCGTGTGAGAGCCGAGAGAGAAAAGAAGAAAAAAAAGTACATTGTGAACAAACAACAAAATGTTGCCAGATTTTAAATTTAACAGCAAACATTTGTGACAGAAGTATATATGTAGGGGAATTTCTTTGAGCGGAAAACAATTAATTAATAGTGTTAATATAATGAAGGATAAGTAAAGGGGGAAAATAATACTGTTTTTTTTATGAGTAATAGAATAATCAAGAGTGAGTCTAATTATGAAAGCTACCGTATTACTCATTCTCAAAACACTTCAAAATAATATTAAATGTTACAAAATCCTTGGGTAATGTTTCTAAAACTTAAAGTTTCTAAGCCGCATGGCAGAACATAACCTAATGCAACTTTGAACGCCTGTTCATTGCATACCAAATATGGGCGGCAAACTTTTGACGTCTAAGGCGTAACTGTCATAAAAGATGTTGCCAGATAAAAAAATTATAATTACCCGCCCAAACCAAGTCCTTTCTCTTTTCACTTTAAACATTTTATCACTTCCTATTTAAGAATTCGCACAATATGTCACATGTTTTTTTTCACTTTATTATATTAACACATTAACTACATATCACGAGCGTTGGTTACCGCAAACTAAAGTTATAAATAAATTAAAGGAGGTAATTGTACAAAGGGAAATATTGTTTAATAAATCGTACAGGACACATTGCCAGTGACACACCAACAATTGTGGCGGACCGAGTAACATAATGATACGCATTGTTGTAGGGACGTGCGGGTGGTCGACACTTGTCGATACTGAACCAAATAAGGTGACATAGTGACGTGTCTGGAATATTTATGACCTCTAATAGAGAACTTAAACATGATTTAGAGACATAATTTAGACATTTTTAGAACATATTGCCACTTTCAATCACAGCCAATTTTGTTATAATGATTTATAGGGCTCGTTGTTAGTTGCATGCACGAATGCACACTACGTGTGAAGGAAAGCATGCATATGTCCACTTCCTGTAGGTACTGAAAATTATCACATCGTCTTGATTTAAGTGCATTGAGACACTATAAGTTAATAAATATCGATAGAATGTAAACACATCACTAGGCAATTCGTTATCAACGTTCGGTCGTCGATTCGTTAGGAAATGTTCGAGTTCGTTATCTTACACTTTATTACGAGCCCGCTGATTACTGCATATTGCTTTGATTCAATGAATGCCTCACAACACTGCCACGTACAATAACTACGTCTGTCTAACTGGCTGTTTATTAGGCTAGCGGTCATCTTCATCAGCATAGAAGAAAAAAAAGTAGCCTTTAATATAACCTCATTCGTCAGATAAAATAAAATAAGCCTTTATTGCTGTTCTAAAGTATATAATACATTTGTGAATTTACATTGAGAATGCTATGAAAAGGAATCAGTCCATGATCAGAATCCAACGGATACCTTCCCGTTATAGTCGGTGGATCCGTTCTGGAGATTATCCAGATTCATCATCATCATCATCATCAGCTCACTATACGTCCCCACCGAGGGGCTCGGAGCCTACCCTAAGTTAAGGGTGATTAGGCCATAGTCAACCACGCTGGCCAAGTGCGGGTTGACTATGGCCCAGATTAGATTTATTGAAACAACGTCCAAGTACTTAATAACGGTTTAACATTGTTTTTGGTTAATGTTAAACGAAGTTAGTCCTTGTTGAAAGAGTAAATTAACGTTAATTAAAACTTCCGGATGACATGTTAATATGAGAAATAAACAGAATCCAGTGTACATCTCACTAACTTTACGTGACCCTTTTTGTTTGTATTTCTTAACAATAATACCACGATAAATGGCCTTTAAAGAAGCTTTAAGATTGTAGTGACATTAAACGTGCAACACGTTAATCATGCCATAAAACTGCAATAGATAATCTATGGTATGTCTATGGTTGTTATTTATGATTATGCTTATCATCAATGGACAGGCTATAAAACGTGATATTTTGTGCCTATTTGATTTTCACCATTATGGCGCTGATGGTAGTAGTTTAATATTTTGCATTTAACATCAACAGTCGCGTTTAAGTCAGAACCAAACAAAAGCTGTAATTTTCAAGCAATATCCTATCGATTTATTGCGATTAGTGTTTTACCTTACCTCATCAACGTCAGTCAACTGCAGACTGCTTGGCGGCGGCAAAGATTATGTTACACGATTGCTTTAGGAATTGAAAATTACCGTAATGATATTTTAATATCCTTGTAAAATAAATGTACGCGGAATTGCTTTGTTTATGGTGCGTGATTGCCAAATGTCTCATTTAATTTTTTTTTTTGAGTAATAACGAAAATGTGCAATTACTACACAACTGAACTTATAACTGAATCAGAGCATAAATTCATGAATTAAACTTAATATTATTATTCAGTAAAATACGAGTATTGGCTGGTGGAGTACAATGTTTTTATAGAAAGATTCAAATGAGATTCATTCAATGGTTGACAGCCGGACGCGAGGTTGGCGCGAGCGACCGCCGCCATTTTGTTTCGGGTGAACAACACGCGCGCATAGCTAATGACGCGACGACATCGGTAATGACAAATTAGCACCCGACTACGGCGCGCTCGTCCGGGACCTTTGACTCACAAGCTTCAATATCTGTTTGCTAATTTACCTTCCGTCTCTTTCTTGTCTTGATGCAATGTATAGACAGATAAATTGTCTGTGCACACCCATAGATAAATTGTTTATAATCCTCCATATTAACATGTTTTCGGACGACAGAATACAACACGTAACCATACCGAAAAAAGATCCCACGGAAACTTATTTTTTTAGACGCTACGATAGTTATAACAGTGAAATCTTTAGACAGATTGTTTTATAAATTCTTCATGATCTTAATACGTGTGATATCAAAACAAACGTGCACTCACCTCGTATGTATGTCCAGTGAAGTTTTGCTGCCTGATGTCACGCCGCGGGGCGCGGTACTGTGTAATGCGAGGGATAACCAGTGGTGGCCTGCGCTCGCGACTGTACACAGCGCACTCCTCCGGAGTTATCCACTGTAACAAAATAACAATCATTTAATATAATACGACAGTTTAAGAATAGAAGTAGGTTGATTGTAAGGAAATGTTATAAAGTTAATTCAAATGGCAAATTACTCTTAAAAAAGTATTTATTTGAACTATTGTTATCAGTTTAAAATTACAGTCTTTAGCCTACTAAACTGTTATTAATAAAAAAATAATGAATTAAGTGTTAAGTGGTTGCAAGACAAAATTACTTGGCTCGGCTTAATAAACAACTAAGCTAAATTGCTAATTTATAAAGAGCCTTGTTCGACTACAAAGAATCATTCATACAAGAGCTATGCCTTTAAATAATTGCAAGAAATTATAAGATAAAGCTCTCTTTGAACTCTGATGTGTAGTTCGAAACAACGACATCTATGTGTGATGCTTGAAACCCGACCGGCGACCAATCAGGAAGTGCATTTGCAGAATCGAGCGCGAGTAATGTAAGATGGCGCCAAATGTCTGGTTTTTATTATGGTAAAAGGCAATTGGAATATTGACTTTCAGCCACAGTGTTTCTTAAACGTAAATAATGAAATATTGGATAAAATAAATATAATAAATACACGGTGCGTAATTTTTTTTAAGAAAATTTTGATTATAATGTTCATGTTTACATTTCATTAACTTTTACTCTTAAAAAATAGATATAAAATGCTTTAGAAGTTTAGACGGACAAATTGACAGGCAGTCTGACGGGCTGGGAGCCCTCGTGTACCGGACGCTCACGGACGCGCCTGGCGTACACGCGGTTCCGGGTTCGATCCCACGAGATAATGTCGCGCGGATGTCGATGTTATGAATAACGTCCGCACAATTACTTTTTATTACTAAACATACATATTGCGTAAACGAATCAGATTAATATTTTGGTATATAGTGCGACAAAATTGTCTGACCCGGTGTCGATAAAAGAAACTTAAGTAATACAAGAGCTTAAAGACACCACTCGTAAGCGTCACACAAGTACTAAAAGATCTTTGTCACACTGTCTTGTCATGTCTCGTCTTTTGTGTCATATTCTATGTCTTAGTATTCTCATATTTCTGCAGACCTCACTGTCACACCACCGCTGTTACCGAGTCAATTTGCAACAGTATTCCGGCTATTATGAATGAACGGCTTATTTCCTTGTTAATATTATTCTTGAAGGTTAAACTCTGAAGACGTAAACAATCGAACGGTTGGCTGATTCACTATCTGATGAATGAAAGGCCGTGGGCCGTGGGTACGGGGACCGGTTTGTCTCCTTGACCCCCGCCTAACATGACTAACGCACGCCCCCGGAATCTCTCATATTACGTGATATTAAGATGATTCAGATATCCTTGAATTAATATTAACATAAATACATTAGTTCAAGTTAACTGTGATCGATTAAAAGTTTTGTTTAATAACGAATTGTCGCCCGCGACTCCGTCCGCGCGCAATTAAAAAAAGATAAGTAGCCTATGTCTTCTTCCAGACTATGTTCTATATGTATGCCAAATTTCATCGAGATTCATTCAGCTGTTCTGGAGATACTTTCAAACAAACAAACATCGAACCATTCATCTAAACATTCGCATTTATAATATTAATAAGAACTTAGATTAATAAACATTAACCTCGGGTTTCTGAGTCCAAAATCCTATTTAAAACATAATGTTATCACTGTTTTGTTTGAGATAATGGGATTCTGGAAGAAATTGTCATGTCTATTGCTTTTAATTATTAAAAAAATATATTTCGATTCGAAACTCGGAGCGGGGAAATACCACGATCTCAGGGAACGAAACTATGACTCATCGGAGTGATGAGAAAATTAAAAACGCAGAATAATTACGAGGAAATGATAAGCTTAAATAAATTCAGAAAATAAAGCATTATTTTATAAAGAGTAAGGCATTTTATATGTATGAATGCTAGAAACTTTGTTTAAAAGTTGTTTCTTAAAATACTGTTTAAAATATCAGTCTAATATAATAATATAAAAAAATAGGTTGAACTTTTCTATATTAAACATCTCAATCTGACATTTCGCGGCATTACACAAACTTCCCGCCATTTATGTAACACGTCACTGTCAAATTAACCTTTTCATCTGTCAGAAGGTTGAAATGTTGATTTAATGTACATTTAACAATAATAACCTTTGCATATTTCCGCAATTATGCAACAACAGAGTATATTTGTGAGTGTAGAGAGACAAGTATCAATTTACGAAGCACTTGGCCTCAATTTATACTCTGTACGGGTTGAATCAACTTCTTGACCTTCTGTCAACGCATACGGCCCATTCATGCGTTTATTTGCTATCTCTGTCTGATAAAGGCAATATTACTATAGAGAGAGCGAGTGAGGAGAGACCGGATGTGAACTCGATAATTCCTAATTAGTTGGACAGGCGGGGTTTTAATGAAGATCGTTAAAATGTACTTATATGTACTTAGAAAGCTCGTGCCTTTTATCTTGATAAATCAACAAATATCACCAACAACTAATTGACGTATTATTTATAATTTTAGTATCATCTTGTTCATTTGTCCTTTAAAAAGTAGTATATATTTTTTCAAATACTAACTGCAACACTCAGAGTCGTGTAGCGATAAAGAGAGCAATTAAACTTGGCAATAAATGTGTGCCCCGTTTTAAATTTAGTTAATTTTTAATTACCTACATTAATCAATGATTTTTCGAACTTGATTTATCAAAGAATGATGTTTGTATTTCATAAACAATTTATGTTATTTTAACTTAATAGTAAATTGTAATTAATCTTTTCGACCAACCATAGACTAAACTATAAAAGCACTTTAAAACAAATTAAAAGAGTGTAAATCGATCAAACAAACTTCGTAAGAGACGTCAAAACATTGAGGGGATGGATTCAATATCCTTTTGATTTAAGAGAGCGTTTGTTTACAACTCTTTGTGTTCCTCTATATTGTTTATGGGCATAGATCGTCGATGCGTTAAAGTGGATACGTCTACTATGAAACTTAAGCGGGGCAAATTGACCGAAAATGTATTTTTCTTATGTAAAATGCGAGGGTTTAAAACAATTATTTTTTATTTATTAGAAGTTTTTGATTTTGGAATGTTTTACATTGGATCCGACAGACGGCATCGCAGTGTCAAATTTTAAATAATATTCGAATTTTAATTTTAGTCTGTCCCTAGCTTAGCTTATTAAAAAAACTTTGAAATTTTCAAATTAAATACGTGTAGACAGGACAACGTGTGTCGGGTCCGCTAGTATCTTATATAACAAGAAGTTGAGCGTAATAATTTACAAAACAATTCCATTTTCCCACCAAATACAGAATCTCCGTGACTGATATTGTTAAAATACCTTTGTTAGTAATAGTTGTTTTATAAAAGTTAAATCACACCGGTGTATTAACATCGAAATTTGACACAGAAAAAAACACCAAGAGAAATAAACTATTATAAGATATCAGAAAGTGAATTGTAGGAATCAATTTCATAATATCAAATTCGGACATTTCCGTGAAATGGAATATTATTTGTCGTGATAATTTCGTATATTCTGTGACATGTGCGCCGGCACAGTGGCGCCACGATGACCTCGCGGTGACATCTGTGCGCTGATAACTTGCCTTGTAGACATCTAGCCGCTGCTATGATTCATAAATAAATACATATTAAAACTCCTTATTTAATTAATAAGTGTTTGGAGCCATACTCAAGTTAAATAATAAATAATAAAACTAATTTCCACATCTCCAGAGGCACACACCTAAATATATTGTTAAATTATTATTTTTTTTTTGTTTTCTTTCCTTGGTTTGTTCATATTTTTTTTTATGTTTTATACTTGTTTGTTTTGTATGAATGTTGTACACCTGTTATTGGATAAATTATCAGTTTTATTGTGTTGTATATTGTATTACTTTGGTCAATGTTACATAATTTATCTGTTGTGTGTACTTGTCTAATAAATAAATAAATATATTTTAGAGAAAATGAGTAGAATACCTATAATAGTTTTTATAATATAGAAACATGTCATCTCTCTTGATATCAATATCGTATTTATTGTCCTTTAAAACGTACAGGAAAAAAAACTGAAGTTACCTAAAAAAGGAAGTGTAAATACGTTAATACAACATCACTACTAGTCAAGCAATAATTATAATAATATAGAGATATTGAACAAACAGTCAAACGGACATTTTTAACGTCTTTGTTCACATAGAAAATGATGTATTGTATGCCACTATCATTTATGTTTTAATAGTTAGCGATAACTTCATTCAGATTGACGTTTCATTCATTCTGTCACATAATTACTATCTTACTAATATTATAAATGCGAATATTTGAATGGATGGATGTTAGAAGGTATCTCTAGAACGGCTAAACGGATCTAGATGAAATTTAGCACAGATGTGAAACAGTTTGGAAGAACGCATAGGTTACTTTCGCAGTCGGGGGCGATAGTAAGTCGCTATATACATATGTACTACTGTATATACTTAGTACACAATACATAACATAAGAAACTATAACACAATAAAAAGCTGATATAAATCTACATAACGTAGGCATCAGACAGTATCGTAGTCAAACAAAAACCTACTGATGCTTCTTGTTTACGCGCCATTAAACAATAGTAGAGGCAAGACAAAGAGTAAGTAACCTCAGACGATCCAATAACATGTTTTTTTTTAATTTTACTAATAAATAAAGTCGTTGAATGAACACGTGCAGTAAATAATTGTTTTTATACTATTTAAAAATAGCAACCAAGGGTAAAATGAATCGGATAATAAAAATAATCTACAAATCTTAATATTAGCGCTGTTTAAAAAGATTACCTTCTTAAAAATATTTAAGGGCACCTAGATATTTTAAAGAATATTTAAAAAGTATATTTATAATGAAGCAAGTCCTATAAGTAAAGAAGACCTGTCAAAAATAGTATTTCTCAATGTTTTACATCTTATTTCTTACTAATATTATAAATGCGAAAATATAGA